TGAGGCGGCTGTCAATCACGGCGCGGGCCCCGCCCCGGCAGGGTGAGGGACCCCTCTGTGATGGCTGCGGGGGCTCTGGGTGAGCACTGGGGCACTCTCCGAGTCCCGCACACGGGGCGTGCTGGTGCCCGCGGTGGGGGTCATAGAAACACGGAATCAGTTTGGTTGGAAAAGACCTCCGAGCTCATCGAGCCCAGCCTGTGACCCAGCATCACTTTGCCAACTGGACCCGTGTCCAGTCTTTCCTTAAGCGCCTCGCGGGGCGGTGATTCCGCCGCCTCCCTGGGCAGCCCGTCCCAACGTCTAATCGCCTTTTCTGTGAAGAAACCCTTCCTAATGTCCAACCTGAACCTCCCCAGCTGCAGTTGGAGACTATAAAATCCGGGTGTGTGCAGCCAGCACTGCCCTCCCTGTGCCTTGCCGGGATGTGGTGCCTGGAGCTGCTCGGAGGGGAAGGTGCACAAAGCGTTTGCTTTTGTTCAACATACCCCTTCCAAAGAGTTTGCCTTCGAACAGCCTTGGTTTCTAAAACTCTGCCCTGGGTGAACTTGCCAGTGGCATGAATGGAAGTGTTCACGGCAAGGTTGGATGAGCCTTGGAGCAGCAACCTGGTCTACTGGAAAGTGTCGCTATCCATGGAACGAGGTGATCTTTAATGTCTCTTCCAAGCCAAACCATTCCATGTTTCTATCAATATCCTGTTAGTACAGCCCACCAGGAGGCATTTTTTGTGATCAAATATTTAGGAATATTGTTATTTGCCCTTTACCAGGGGCTGTTGCTGTCCCTGTACAGCCAGCAGTAGAATACAGCATTTCCTGATTCACAGGGCTGGAAGCAGGGAATTAAATCTCCCATTGCTCCGTGTGTGTAAAATATTCACATATGGGATGAGACTAAGAAGAACGTTAATAAGGACAGTGCAATAATGACAAGGATTTGGCAGACAGACTTAATTGACTTATTGAGGCTCCAGCAGTTACACCTAGAGCAGCAGAACTAGACCAAATCCACGGGTTCTAATGGGGTGAGGAGACCTAGAAAGCAGAAATACAGAAAAGGAAACAGGGCAGGCAGGGAAGGGCAGGTTTGTGCCTGTCCTTACATAACGGAGGAGTTTGCTATCAGTGACAGTGATGCGCTGTGGGATTACATAGGCAGAGCTGAGTGAAAAACAGGGAAGGTAGAAAGCCTATCACCCTTAAATTAAGCACTCCATTCAGAAAGAGGGTGAGAAACTGTCGTTCGGAGGAGACAGTGCAAGCAATGAGTGAGAGCGTGAGGTTAGACAGCAAACAACCCCTCCGGGAGCCTGGTGACATGCACATGAGGAAACACGAGAGCCACGTGTGTGCAGGTGGCTGCCGGTGAGTCAGTCACTGAAAGTTGCAGATAAGCACCCAAGGAAAGTCCCGGTGCTGTCTCCGGGCACGGGGAGCTTTCTGCAACATCAGGGGAGAATTGAGAACTGAACGTCAGCGATGCAAGTCCAATGGGATTCAGAGCCATCGGGGAGACAGGGATGAAATGAAGGACGGATATTTCGGTTTAGGGCGAGCAATGGGAAGCTATTGACAGCTGATGATATTGCAGGACTTGTGATATACAGAAGAAATTCTTTACTGTGAGGGTGGTGAGGCACTGGAATATGCTGCCCAAAGAAGTTGTGGATGCCCCGTCCCTGGAAGTGTTCAAGGCCAGGTTGGATGGGGCTTGGAGCAACCTGGTCCAGTGGAAAGTGTCCCTGCCCATGGCAGGGGCTGGAACAAGATGAGTTTCAAGGTTGCTTTCAACACAGGCCATTCGGTGATTCTTTATTATTTTGTTCCCTCCTGTGTGCCACCTCATGCACTTCCCTGTGCTGTATGCCATCCTCCACCCTTTCTCTCTCTCTTCAGAGCTCCCTGGCTTTCCTGTCTGTGAGATGTATCAACATCAATCAAGGCAGTGTTTTGAAATACTCTCTCTTATACTGCTGTGGGAAATGATTCACAGAGTATCAGTTATTGATACTGGTGTTTTGGTGTTTTGGCAGAGCTGGGCCAGGAGGAGACAGTCAGTGACATGAACCTCTTTCCTCTCTAGTGTCAGTGCTCTGAACTGGAGGTAGAGGTGACACAGTCTCTTTGTAATTTCATCCTGTCATTTTGAATCACACCAGGATCCTTATCAGCAGGTTTTTTTCAGACAACAGACAGCATATTACTCTCAATGGCATTTCCTTTTTAAAACAGCATTATGTGCTTTGATCAACTTGTAAAGGACAGATGAGAGTTGGGTGCAGTTAGATTCGATGTAACAGCCTGGGATATGAGAAAAAGAAAACTATTGGCATAGTACACAGTTCTGGACGTGCGAGTTAAGGGCCAGCACAGTCTATAAACATTCTAGATACAGCAGAGGTAATATTTATGGAGGTAACCTTGAAACCAGATTAGAGAGGCACACATCCCAATAGATTTCATATACTGAAGTCTCCAGACTTGAACTGAACAAAAGATTCAATTGCTTTGCACAGTGTGTTTGTGACCAGCAGATAGGAAAAGTGTGTAAAATTCTCAGTTTTGAGGAAAGATGCCACCTAAAACTAACTGGGACTTAGACTTGGTTCACTTCCAGCCATTGCAAGTTCTTCTTGTGTTCTAAATAAGCCTTGGATATCCTTAGCTCTTACTCCTTCAGGGCCCATCAAGGGGTATCCTTCCCATCAAGGAGTATCCTTCCCCCTGAAGGTATGTCTGTTCCTGCCACATGTCAAGCAATAAGGGGACCTGGAGGTGAAATGCCACAATGGGCATCCTACAGAGGCTCTCGGGATGGACAGCACAGCCTGAAACAGCTGCAGCACAGCAGGGCAGCAGTGAGTGTAGGCATGAGGAGGACCAAAGAACCTGAAGGTCTCACTGTACTGAGGGGGTTTTGTCATTTGGATACAGCTGTGTCAGTGGAGGGGTAAGAAGAGCTGCGAATAGCTCCCAGGGCCCGGTGTTTTGCACAGGTGCCCGTGTTCAGGGCTTGGAAACTGGCGTGGGGCCATGGGAATCCACTGGAATTCATCCCTGCAGGAAGTTCTTGTCCACATGTAGCACTTCCTCTCCTGGTAGAAGCCACATGCAGTGCCATGCGCCCATGGCACAAACCACAGTCTTGCGAGGCACTGTTGCAGAGGAATTAGGAATGGTGGGCAGAGAGGAGGCACAGCATCCTAGGAGATCCTGTCTCACATCCTGCGTGACGAGGGCTCGGGTGTGGGATCTCTCCGGCAAACATTTCCACACCTGTTTCACTCTGTTGAAGTGGAGAGTTAAAAACATAAATGAAAGTTCTAATCCTATGAACAGCGCTGCCAGGAATCTTGGGGCGTTGCTTGGGCCATCTCCTGCCTTGATGCAGGATCAGCTCCATGAAACATTTTCCACACAGGAGCTTGCCTAATGCTTTTTTTTTTCTAAATCCTCTGTGGATTAGAGTCCTTACTCTCCCTAAACAACATGTTCTAGGACTTAACCATTCTCACACTTAGAAAATGTCCCTGGATGACTATCCTGAATTGCCCTTCTTACAGTGTTGAGCTGGCAACATTTTGTTCCAATTCCCCGTGGGTGAGATAAAGGTATTCCCTTCCTGTTTGTGGAAGCCTTTTAAGTATTTGGAAATGGTTATCGTGTCCCCGCAGCCTTACAGCCCTGCAGGGACCTTCCCCAAACTAAACACGGATGGTTCCTGCAGTCCTGCAAAACCAGGCCCCAGACTGTTCCCGGGACCCCACAGCAGTCTCTCCATCAGGCCTCACCTTTCTCAAAACACAGTACCTGCCAAGGTTTATATGCCCCAGTGGGACGTCTGCCTTTTTCACTGCAGCACCACGAATCGACTCTTTGATCCACTGTACTTAGGAACTTTATCTATAAAAGGCCTGGCTAGCCAGCAGGTTCCCATCTTGCATTTTCATGGATCATTATCCCTACCTAAGTACAGTACTTTGCACTTGTCTGCATGGAATTGCACCCTACATTTTGCAGAGTCTTTTTCCATTTTGTCGAGAGCATTTTGACTGAATTGTGGCCTCCAGAGCAGTCATGACTCTTCTCACACGGGTCCATTTGCCAAAGACATAAGCATAATTTTTATTCCTGCTTTTGGGTTGTTATTAAGCACTTTTAAGTGCTCACAGGACCAGGGCCCAGGTGGGGTGGGAAAATCATTAAGAATCATTAAGTTTGGGAAACACCGCTAAGATCCAGTCCAACCATTTACCGAGCCCTACTGTGCTTGCCACTTAATACTGTCCCCAAGTGACATATCTGCACAGTTCTTGAATGCATCCAGGGATGGTGATTCCACGATTTCCCTGGGCAGTCTGTTCCAATGCCTGCCACACTTCGGGTGAAGAAATTTTTCCAAATCTCTGATTTGAAACCCCCCTGGAATAATCGGAGGCTATTTCCTCTTGTCCTATCACTTGTTACCTGGGGGAAAAGGCCAACCCTTACCTGGCCACAATCTCCTTTCAAGGAGTTGCAGAGAGTGATAAGGTCGCTCTGAGCCTCCTTTTCTCCAGGCTGATCCCCCCAAACCGCTCATTAGACTTGTGCTCCAGACCCTTCCCCGGCTCCGCTCCCCTTCTTTCGACTCGTTCCAGCACCTCAATGTCTTTCTTGTCGTGAGGGGCCACAAAACTGACCCCAGGATTCGAGGTGCCTCAGCAGTGCCCGGAACAGGGGGACGATCAGTGCCTTGCTCCCGCTGGCCGCACCATTGCTGACACCGGGATGCCCTTGTCCTTTTCGGCCGGCGTGGGGGACACACAATGGAGGTTCGTGGGGGACACACAGTGGGGGTTCCCAGCGCTCGCTGGGATGATGTCGAGCGGTCAGACAGGCAGAAGGAGCCCGTGGGGGGACCGAGCGGGGCCCGGTCGCACCGCCTTTGTCCGCGGGCGGGGAGGGCGCGGCGCGGTGCGGGCCCGTGCGGTCGCAGTGCCGCCCGCCGGCGGGCTGGGCCCGAGCATGTGCAGCTGCGGCAGGCACCTGGCAGGGAGCCGCAGCGCCGGGGATGTGAACCAGGCGGGGAGGAAGGCCCTTGACTCATCAGATAAATCCAGCCCCGCACGGCGAGCGAAGGCGGAGGAGGTGCGGCGGCGCGGCTGTGAGCAGGGGAGGAGGATGGCGGGGGACAGCGAGCAGCGGCTGGAGGAGCAGGGGCAACCCAGCGGCGGCGAGCCCTTCCTTATCGGGGTCAGCGGCGGCACGGCCAGCGGCAAGGTGCGGGGGCTCGGCGGGGCAGCCCCTGGGGGGCCGGGGGAGCCCCGCGGTGCTGTGCGGTGCTGTGCGGTGCAGCCCCCCCCCGCGCCGGGCGCGGCGGCCACATGGCAGCGCGGCGGGTCCGAGCGGCCGCCCCGCCACGTGCGCTCGCCACGGTCCCGCCGCGCCGGCCGGGGATGCGGCGCTGGGGATGGGCATGCGGGTGTGGATGGAGCCGCTTGGGCTCGCTGGCTGCCCAGGGAAGGGCGAGCCTGCGGAGGGAGTGCGGCCGCCGAGGCCTCTCTGCCCGGGCGGCGGCCGGAGCCCCGCGGACACGTGGATGGAGGGTACGGGGTGGATACGGGATTTACCCCTTCTTCCCGGCCAGGATCTTGCGCCCTTCCGCCTCACCGGGGAAGGAGGGGGGGGTCTAGGCGGGGAGGGGGCCGGGGACCGTGCGGGGCGAGGGTGGCCCCGGCTCAGCGTGGGGGGAAGGTGGCATCCCCCTGCAGAATCCTCCCGTCTGCGCCTGTAGTCGGCGTTTGCCCCCTTCCTCTTCACCTGCACCATCCCCGGGGGCTGCCCGCCCCACGGGGAAGAGGCACTTCTTAATTTTTTTTTTTTTTTTTTTTTTTTTTCCGCAACGGTGTCGGTCGTGCCGTGGGGGTGCCCTTCTCTGCCCAACTTTGGGGGGTAGCAGGAGCGGGGATTCTGCAGCAAATGCTGACTCACAGCGGCAGAACGACCTCCTGGCTGCTGTGCCGGGAGGGGCTGGCCTTTGGCAGCGGCAGGTGGGAGCCGAGCGGGGCGAGGGCTGCGGGGCCGGGGCAGCCGCCCCGCCGGGGCAATGCGGGTCTTCCCAGGAGGCTGCTACGCCCGAACTGCAGCGCGGGGCAGCCTTATGGCCCTTTAGCATTTTTATTTGAGTTATTTCACACCGTGGGGTTTATTTTATTCGTTTAACCTGAGCTAGGTCGCTTTCTCTCCTAATATGAAAAGAAAATTACTTTTTTTTTTTTCCTTATTTAAGAGCAGTAAAACCAGCTCCACAGATCATCAGCCTTTCTATGCAGGGCAGCACGTTCCACCTGCGTTTTTAAGAGGCATTTTGGAGAGCATGAATAGATTTGGAAGTAGCTATACCTTTGAAATATTTCTTGCTAAGGAAACTGAATGTGGGCCGGCATGGGAGGAGGATGAGCCTTACATCTCTGCTTTGTTTCGTGTTTAGAGGTGGGGACCCCTTTTTTCCTCTTGAGGGATGGCATAATCCAACTGCTGTATTTCAGCCCAGTGTTTTAAGCATGTGCCTCTGAGTACCCTATTGATTCTTGGACTGCTGTTGCTGCTGCAAGGGGGAAAAATCCAGCTGTAACAGGGGAGGGATGGTGAGAGAGAATGCAATCTTCTCCAGTGGGAACCGAAGCTGGATTGTTCCTGCAGCACAGCTCCTGGTGACTCAAACACGCTGGGTTTGTCTGTTCTCTGATGCGTGGGTCTGCCTCCCTGTAGTTGTCCCAATAACATCGTGTCTGGCACTGCTGAACTGTTATGTCTCTGAACACGGTGTCTCAGGCCCACAAGGTAAAAGCAGTGATTACAGTACAGTACGCTACAGTGGCTCTCAATTTCAAAGGGAAAGTGCTTAATAGCAGCAGGCTACCTTAGTAAAAAATAATAGGGAAATGGCTCTTCCTAGCAAGGGAGATGTTACTAACTGGCTTTTCCTGTCTCTCAGCTTTGATCCCCCCCACCCCATCCCCAGTGATCGCTCACTGCTAAAAACCTTTGTGCGGTACTGCCCGTTGAAGGGCACCCAGCAGATCATTACCAAGTTGATGGGGAAGGACTGGAAGAAATATCCTGGTGGAAAAAAGAAAAACCTTGCACGTGGAGAAGCAACAGGAGAAAAAGGACCTGGGGCTTGTGCCTGCAGGCCCTCAAATTCATGTGTGATGCAGATGCAAGGCAGGGCTGCAGAGGGGGGCTGTCCCCCACCTGCCTGGTGACAGTGTCCTGTGCTGGGTGATGCCAGGTGCCGTAGCACACTCTGGGAGAGCGCTGGTGGGCCTGATGTGCTTAGCTAAGGGCTTGCCTGTAGTTAAAATCCAGCCTAGGGTCTACTGTGCCGGTGTGCTGGCTCTAGGTGAAAACAAAGTGCTAGAGGGAAGGTGAAGCAGGCACCTTTCCCACTGGGAAAGTGACAAATCCATCCGACTCGCCTTGACACCAATTGGGGGTTGTTGTCACAACACACCCCTTTGGCAGCACACCAGCCCAACGATAACGCAGGGAATTTGCCTTCCCAGGGCTTCCCACTGCTGCTTTTGAGTCTGAGATGGGGGGGAAAATAAAAGGCTCCACAGTTCCCCCTGCCCCTTTCAATGCACCAGCATGGTCAGGCTCTGGAAAGAAGAGATCCTGTTTGTAGCTTGCCACAACTTGTGTCCCGTGGTGCCCTGGGGAAGCTGGTGTTGGAAGCAGCCAGCCTTCCCAGAGAGTTGGGGGGTGTTTGGCTGGTATTTCTTAAAGGCAAATCTGTGAGAACTTAAGCTCGAGGGCTGAGTGCTGTTTCCCTAGTGAGCAAAAGAGGCTTGAGCAAGTTTGACCACTCAAATAGGATAGGTGGAACCCTGAGTGCTCCCCTGGCTTTTGGCTCTGAAAAGAAATCTGGACTGTGTTGGGAGCAAAACTAGGGAGCCACAGAGCACCCTGGACAGGCTGGGATGCTGCAGCTTCTGTGAGGGCACTGCCAGCTGCGTGGTGGCTGTTTCGAGTCAGCTCAGCTGGGACAGGCTCTTCACAAAAGCTTGCTCAGAGGCAGCATTTTTTCCACTGTCTCCCAAAATCTAAGCACTGTGCAGCCTGGGCAGAGCTTGCTGCAGTTTCCTGGGGTGAAGGAGATGACATGGCATTAAGACCCTCCCCTCCTGTGTCAAAGTTGGAGATGGCTGCAACCACCTCATTTTCTCAGAGGGATTCCTAAGGCTGTTTGTAGCATTTTCTTTAATCCTATGCATTTTCAAGTGCCCTGCTAAAGTTCTAGTTTCCCTCTTATACCCATGGTCTTTGTGCTAACAGCTTCGTCCCTCCTTCCTGCAAAAGATTTCCTGACTACCAAGGACTGCAGCATGCAAGGCAGGCAGCCAGGCTGCGGGCTGGAGGAAAGTTCCGTGAACTGACTACTGAGATGCGCTGGGAAGTGTTGGGATACCCCCTAAAGCCCTTCCCGTGTCCTCACTTCAGTTTAGCTGCTGGGACCTTCCAGCTCTGCCGGTCGTGCTGGAGCAGCTCGCTCCCAGCAGCAGTGGGAGCATCTGGTACTGGGGTGGCTGCAAGGGTGGGAAGAGCTCTTTCAGCTCATGCTGAAGCATTAATTGTTGTCCCCACGTGAAGCGAGGTGCTGATTGCTGCCTTCCAACAGGAGCTTGTAAAAAAAAAAAGACAGATTTGGAGAGGGCTGAATGCTTTTGATGGCTGTTCATCACTCTAGTTCATCAACTAGTGAGGGCTGAATATGGGTGCCACTGCAGCCCTGTGGTTGCATCATTTGGGTCTTGAGTTAGTACATGAAGTTACCAATGTCTGTTTGAACATGCTGCCTCAGAGTTTCCAGACTGCAGAGCACCAAGATTGCAGCCTGTGTTCAGCCAGATGTGTTCTTCACTATTACTCCACCAGGCTCTTTGCTTTAAACACCAAAAAGGCTGGCTGAGTCTGAGCTGCCTGCCTAGAAGCGTGAGCAAGCTGAAGGAGGCTGGCATTGCCCAGCCAGGGTGGGACAGCCAGCGTGTTGTTCCCCAGGGAAGCAGTGGTCTGAGTTGCATGAGGCAGTTCCATCTCTGCATGGGGCCTCTTTGGTGACAGAGCTCAGTCCCCTTCCCCAGCAAGAGCTGAAGTCCCCCACAGCAGCCCAGGGGTCACTGCCACCATGTCACCACCTGGGTGTGGCTGACAGAGGAGCCTGGGGGAGATCTGGGGAGTGACCTGGGGGGACTAGCAGGAATTTCAGCAGCCCTGTGCCAGTTCAGCACCATTTCCTGGTGACGTTTGTTCCGTGGCTGGCAGGAGCCCTGTATCACAAGGTCTGACTTGTTAAACACTGGTGTCAACGTGTGCTAGAGACTCGTCAAACTTTCTAGTAGAACGTTGTTCTGTGCCAGCCCCGATCAGACTGATACACAGGACGTTTTGATGGGTCAGCCCTTTCCTGTTACTGATGGAATATGTGTGGGTTCGTTATGGAGCCTGGTTACCATAGTCCCGTGGGCTTAGCCAGCTCCGGGCTATGGAGTTTGCAGCAGGGGCTTGGGAAAAATATCCTGTGCCTAAAACCGGAGGATTGGGAGGGATTGTGTCAGAGGGCTTGTTTTCCTCCCTGTGCATAATCTGTGTTTAGAGCCTCTGTGTTTGTGCCTGTTTATGCTCCAGCCTGGGATTGCTGGTCACATGCACAGTGTCCCAGGGTGAGTGAACAGAGACCTGGCTATCCCACTCCTGGACTAGTTGGCCTGTGGCTTACGAAGGGAAAGGCAGGAATGGTGAACCTGCCTGGGAAAGCTCTGGGTGGAGGCCCAGGCTTTTGGTACGAGAATAGCAAGTTTCCAGTCCCAGTGTTGCTGTACGGATGTGCTCCTTTAGGACTGGAAAGGATTGCGTGGGTCGTGAACTAGGGCAGACATTTGATAGATGCTCTGGGACCCTTCCCAATTTGGTATCTGTTCTGTGTGTCACCCCAGTCCACTGAGCACTTCCTAGTACTCTATAATTACCATAACCTTCAAGAAGAGACCAAAATCTGTAACTCATGTGCTGCTGGAGGGAAGGGAAGCACTGCCACAGCTCCTGATTTCAGGGACGTGACTGAGTAATAGCCCCGTGTGATGCCTGGAAAGAGAACCATGCTACAGGGGACACTGGAGAAATGAAACAAGTAATTACAGTGGTCCCTGATGTTTGATCTTAGGGAAAATCCTGTAAGATCCCAAAACTAGCCGTTGTTTTATCCACAGGCATGTGAT